TTTTGTTAGATATTGTGCCGATGGTTGTCCCGATATGCTTAACAGATGATAGATAGATAGATCTATAGACATATAGATAGATGTGGACAGGAATATTGCTATGCATGTAGAACGTATATGTATATTGATACATCGTCGACTAGAGAGATACACATATGAATGCATGGACAGAGAAACATATGTATATATCTATAGAGAGAAAGACAGACGACATACATATCAATACATATACACACATGAATCAGGATTTGTGTGTGTATATGTTGATTGATGGATCGTTATATATATATATGCGTATATGCAGTTAACACATATATAGGTATACATTGATTGATAGATAGATTGGTTGATAGGCTGATAGACTGATTGGTATATAGCTGGTGGATAGGTATGTACATATATACAGATTACTGTCCTAGATAGATAGGCCGATATACAGGTAGGTCGATACATAGATCATTAGATCGATGAGCAACTGTGAGCGGCAAGTAATCAGGATGAAACCACCTAAGAACCCAGAGCCATCGCAAATCGACCGCCTACCCCATCCCACCCCCCAACCTCCTTATCACACGTAGGGTAGTCCTGTGAGTACGTGTGTGTGTTTGTCTGTGTGTATGAATGTGTGTGTGTGCGTGCGTGCGAGTGTGTGTGTTGTGTGTGTGTGTTGTGTGCGTGCGTGCGTGTGTGTGTTGTGTGTGTTGTGTGTGTGTTGTGTGTGCGTGCGTGCGTGTGAGTGTGTTGTGTGTGTGTTGTGTGTGTGTGTGTGTGCGTCGTCTCCCCCTCTCCCAACCCTCTCTCGTCCTCACGGGGCCTCCCGCCCAGGGAGGGCAGAGGGGGCAAAGAAGGACGGAGCCGGGCAAACACGCCCACACATGGACTGCGGACCCACGGATCCGGCGCGCGGGCGCCGGGTCCCACGCATCGGGGAAGGTACCCCCCGAAGCATGGCGGCAAGGCTGCCCACAAACATCCGCCTCCTCCTCCTCCTCCTCTTCCTCCTCCTCCTCCTCCTCCTCCTCCTCCTCCTCCTCCCCCTCCTCCTGAAAGGAAGTATTTTTTGGGTCCCAGATTCCAATCTACTTTCAGCGCCTTCCTACTTCAATGATCGAGTGGCTTCACCTTTTCCGTCCTCTTTAGGGGGCGGGCGGATACCCAATCTAGTTTCAACGCCTTCCTACTTGATGCTTCTACCTACTTCTTCCGACCGATGGGTACTCCTCTTCCTTCGTCGTCCTCCTTGTCTCCTAGTGCGAAGGCCTTACGGCCGCTGCCGCCGACCCTGAAGACGGCGAAGATGAAAACGAGCGGGGGGGGGCAGGAGGCGGAGGAGGAGGAGTGGGGGGGGGGGGAAGAGGAAGGGTGGAGGAGGCGGATGAGGGAGGAGGACGGGGGGAGGATGAGGAGGAGCAGGAGGAGGAGGAGGAGGAGGAGGAGGAGGACGCAGAGGCAGAGCAGGAGGTGAGAGCAGGAGGGGGAGGAGGAGGAGGAGGAGGAGGAGGAGGAGGAGGCGTTGTGGCATTCTGGGGTCTTTTTGGAAACAGCTTTTCATGAATCCAGGGGCGCTCGAGGGGGAAGCGTATCTGGGCGGCGTCCTTTGGCCGTTTGGGGCCCCTTTTGGCCGTCCTTGGGCGTTCTTGGGCTGTCTGCCGGGGCTTGGGCCGTCTAGGGGCGCTCTTGCGGATCCGTTCTGGCGACCCCCCCTCCTCCAGCGCATCTACAGAGGGCCCCTCTGTAAAAGCCGCTTTTGACGTGACTACGACGTGGGTCGATTTCCCTCACTCCCCAGACTCCTCCCCACGACGACGGGAGAGTGCTCTCTCACCCCCAACGGCGAAGGATAAACAGAAAAGGCGTCCCGTCGACGGGACCAGACAGACGCCCCACACACGCCGACAGGGTCTGCGGATTTCCTTCCTTCCTTCCTCCCTGACTCCTTGCTTCCTCCCTTCCTCCTCCTTCTTACTTCCTCCCTTCCTTACTCCTTGCTTCTTCCCTTCCTCCTTTTCCTTGTCTCCTGTTTCGTTATACTCCCCCAGGGCTCGGCGGACGGCCTGCTCTGGGGGAAGCGGCAGCGTGCGGAGAATCAGCTAAGGCAGCTCACCCTGAGAGGTCCCTGCGGCAAGAGGTGGCGGAGGAGGTCGGACGAGGCCAGTTCCAGAGCGTTCCGGAACGCTCTCAGAGCGTTGGTTGAACGCTCTGAGAAGGCCGCGGTGCCCGAGACATGCTCCAGAGCCGCTGGATCTCAGAGATTCTTGACGCATCCTCCCCAGGATTTGCCCTTGTCCTGGCTTCGTCTCAGGAGGCTGAGGGGGGGGAGGAGGCTGAGGAGCACACGTAGGAGGAGGAAGAGGAGCCAGGCTGGACGAGGAGGAAAGAGGAAGAGGAGGAGGAAAGCTGGACGAAACCAAGCCGAAGCAGTTCAGCCAGAAGGGTCCCTGCGCCGGGAGGACGAGGGCAGGGGTGGAGGAAGAGGAGGCGGAGGAGCGCGAGGCGCGCTTTTGTTGTGAGTTGTTTTCTTTACTTTGGACGCTTTTCGATACGTTGGGCCTGCGGAGGCCTCCGAGGGCCTCCCAGGGGAGGGCGGGTCCCCAGGAATCGTGGAGAGGTGTTTGTACGCTCGGGGCCCCAGCTATGGCCGGGTGCGGCCAGAGGACGGGTTTTCCAGGCACTCTTGAGTTGGGTTCCAGTCCTGTAGACAGCACTGTTGTCTCCATCCTCCTCTCCCGCCTCAACCTCCTCCCTCTCGCGGATCCCTTGGGGGGTGCGACGTGTGAATCCATCGCCCCTTTCGTGGGCTCCTGGGGGGTCCCGCGGTGTGGAGTTAAACACGCGGATGCAGGCGAGACTTCGCGGCTCCCTGTGGGGGTGGCAGAGTTACACGCGGATCAGGCCGAGACCTCGGGGTTCCTTTGGGGGGCTGCGCAGTGCGCAGCCGTCACCATGTTCGTGGGCTCCTGGCAGGTGAAGCGGAGAGGAGGTACACGCGGATTAAGCCGAGTCTTCGCGGCTCCTTGGGGGGGGCTGCGAAGTGCGCAGCCGCCGCCACTGGCGCTTGTTTTTGGGAGGTCCAGCGGAGTAGAGTTACACGCGGATCCAGCCGAGATTTCGCGGTTTTCTAGAGTGTTGCGAAGTGCGCAACCGTGGAGTGATACATGGATCCAGCCGAGACCTTGCGGCTTCTTGGGAGCTTGCGAATTGCGCAACCGTCGCCATTTCTCGTGGGTTCCTGAGAGGTCCAGCGAAGTGGAGTTACACACGAATCCAGCCGAGACCTCACCACTGTTCTTTGGGGGCTGCGAAGTACACAACCATCGCCACTTTCATGGGCTCCTGGGGGGTCCAGCGGAGTGGAGTTAAAAACGCGGATTCGACCGAGACTTCGCGGCTCCTTGGGGGGGCTGCGAAGTGGCAATTGCCGTTACGCTCGTGGGTTCTTGGGAGCTCCAGCGGAATGGAGTTACATGCGGATACAGCCAAGATTTCGCGGCTCCTTTTTGGGGGTGCGATTTGCGCAATTGATGTCACGTTCGTGAGTTCCTGAGAGGTCCAGCGGAGTTGAGTTCCACGCGGATCCAGCAGAGACCTCGCGGCTGCCTTGGGGGCTGCGAAGTGCGCAACCGTCCTTCCTCTGGTGGGCGCCTGGGAGGTCCAGCAGAGTGGAGTTCCACGCGGATCCAGCCGAGATCTCGCGGCTCCCTGGAAGGCTGCGAAGTGCGCAACCGTCGCCTTTTTTCGTGGGCCCCTCGGAGGTCAGCGGCGAGGGGGAGTACGCAGATCCAGCCGAGATTTCGCGCTCCTTTGGGGGGCCGCGACGTGCGCCAGCGTAGCCTCTTTGCGCCCGCTGCCGCGGACAAGGTCAGAGCGCGCGGCGCGCCGGGCGCGCGCAGCGGAGTTTTTTTTTGCGGTTCGCGAGCGCGCCGCTTGTCCTTTGCCTGCTCTGTGAGGTTTGGAGGCGATCTTCGGTGTCTCGGCTCGCGCGTGGCATGTTGTGGGACCTCCGCTCGGCAGTTCCTCGGCTTCGTGCTAGCTGAGGTGAGTCACTGGCCTCCTTCGCCCTGGGAAATAGAACATAGGGGGGTGGAGAAGAAGGAGGAGGCGGATGAGTGCCTCCCCCCCCTTCCCACCCAACCCTGCCTTCTCGTTCCCTTCTCCCTCCGCTCCCTGTCAATTCCAACGCCCCCCCCCAGTCCATCCAGACTGGACGTTCGCAAGTCAAATTGAAGCGCCCCGGCGCACCTGCCGTACCCTACGCGGAACGCCCTCTGGGCGACCTCGGCGCCGCTCCGCTCCGCTCCCCCCAGCCCCCCCTCCCTTTCCTACAGCGGAGACTCATTCGAATGAACACCCTGCTTGCCTCCAGGGTGCCCTGGGTTTCTTGGGCTTCGACGGCTCTGAGATGGAAGCCGGGACATCCTAGGGTCTCAGGGTTGGGTTTCTTGCGAAAGGTTTCTTGTGGGCGAGCTCCTATTGTTCCCCAATTAGTGCTTGCACGGAAGGGTTCCTAAAGCGGACAATGACAGATTTGGCGAAAATTTCCCGCCGATTTTGGTAGCCGGCTGGGTTCCCGGGTTCCCAATTCGCCGGCTGGTTTCCCGGGTTCCCGGGTTCCTGGTTACTGGTTCCAAGCAGATTTCGGTGGGTTCCGGGTTCCCGGGCTCCTGTTCGATTTCTTTATCGATCTCTTTATCGATCCTATGCCTTTCAAACCACACATTGACTGTTCTTGGGCGTAGTAGAGCTGTCCCTCACGCCCTCCCTCGCGTCGCGTTGGGAGTCTGGTCCGGGGCCCGGGAGGCGCCGGCCCGAGCCGCGGGCTCGCAGCCCCCCCCCTCCAAGCGGGAGCAGGAGGCTCCAGGGGGAGGCGGGGGGGGGGCAGGGTGAGTTCTCGGCGTGTCTTCTGATGTTCCAACCTGCTTCAGCAAGAGGGCGCGGCCCAAAAGTATCTTGAGTATCTTGGGTATCCTTAAGGATACCCAAGATACGCGGCCAGATTGGATACTAATATCCTTACGAATACCCAGATCCTTAAGGATACCCAGATCCTCAAGGATCTTCAGCAAGACGGCGCGGCCAATTGGCCGCGCCGTCTTGCTGACAGTTGGGATTTGTGGTGTCGTGTGCAGAGTGAAGCGTTGCTGGCCAGCCAGCATCCCTCCCCCCATCTGGGCCCCCCCGGGGCCGAATGTACGACCAAGGTGAATGATGTTCCAACCTACTTTCGCCTTGACCACCAGAAAGAATTCCGAGCACCAGGAACGTACCGAAGTTGGAGGGTTTTCACGCGTCGAACCCCATGAGGCGATGATTTTTCTGTGTGCTCGAACTTATTTCTGGGATGCGGTCCTAAGTCCGATGAGAGCAACAAAAGACGTGTCGGGCATCCCCGCCAGCCCATCCAGAAATGACCGCCAGGCGAGTTGACCTGACCAGGGAGGTGCATGAGCATCCAGTGGAACGGATACTTGCGTCAGCCGTCAATCCCAAGTTCAGAATCAGCTTGATCATGCAAAGGAGTGGTACGGTCGGGCTGAGCTTGCCGTCGAAGGAGGAGGAGGAGGAGGAGGAGGAGGAGGAGGGGGAGGAGAGGGAGGAAGGAGGAGAGGAGGAGGAGGAGGAGGAGGAGGAGGAGGAGGACGAGGAGGAGGAGGAGAGAAGGAGGAGGAGGGGGGAGGAGGAGGAGGAGGACAAGGACGACGAGGAGGAGGAGGAAAAGCAGGACGAGCAGAAGGAGGACGACGACGGCAGGAGCCAACAACGAAGACCTTCGTGGACGTTTGGTTGTCGCATCTCCTTGAACATTTTTTGCGCCCGTCTGGGAGACTTCACGGCGCTTTTGAGGGCGTTCTTGGGGGCTGCGGGGGTCGTCTCGAGTCACGTTTAGAGGCCCTCGATCAAACAAGAAGGCGGACTCCATTCTTACCCACCCCCGTCGAAGGCCGATAATAAGTATCCTTGTGGTGCCCCTGGGGCGCTCCCTTGATCATGCAAAGGAGTGGTACGGTCGGGCTGAGCTTGCCGTCGAAGGAGGAGGAGGAGGAGGAGGAGGAGGAGGAGGAGGGGGAGGAGAGGAGGAGGAAGAGGGAGGAGGGGAGGAGGAGGAGGAGGAGGGGAGGAGGAGGAGGAGGAGGACGAGGAGAGGAGGAGAGGAGGAAGTAGGAGGAGGAGGGGGAAGAGGAGGAGGAGGAGGAGGACAAGGACGACGAGGAGGAGGAGGAAAAGCAGGACGAGCAGAAGGAGGACGACGACGGCAGGAGCCAACAACGAAGACCTTCGTGGACGTTTGGTTGTCGCATCTCCTTGAACATTTTTTGCGCCCGTCTGGGAGACTTCACGGCGCTTTTGAGGGCGTTCTTGGGGGCTGCGGGGGTCGTCTCGAGTCACGTTTAGAGGCCCTCGATCAAACAAGAAGGCGGACTCCATTCTTACCCACCCCCGTCGAAGGCCGATAATAAGTATCCTTGTGGTGCCCCTGGGGCGCTCCTTCGGCGCGCTCCATGGGCGCGCTCTTCGGGACGCCTTGGTTGCAGTCCGCTTCCCTCTCTTCTATACTCCCACACGCCGCCCTGCCTCCTTGCAAACGTGCCCTCCCCCATTCACCCTTCGCCCCCCCCCCCCACCACTCAGTATCGTTTAACCGACCCCCGTCCCCATCCCCATCCGTTTCGAGACCCCCACCAAGTTACCCCCCCAGTTGGGGATACACCCCTCGTGACCCGAGGAGGACGGCCCATATCCCCATCTAGGGGGGTGAATCGGCCAGTGGGGCCCAGGCCACGCCGCTGGAGATGGGGATCGGTGAAACTCAGGAGAGAAAAAACACACAGACACAATCAATCGTCGAGTCCCAGGGAAAATATGGGAAGTGGGGGGGAAGACAAAAGCCGAGAAAATATGGGAAATGTGGGGAATAATTTTATTTGTGTGTATTTATTTGTGTCCTAGGGCCCCTTCAGAAACGCTACTCTACCACCCGCCCACCCCGTTGGTGGCCAGCCCGCCAGGGGGGCGGCGCTCGGGAGACGCCCTGCGACTGCCCTGGGGCGAGCTTCCCCCCGAGGGGCCGACCGTCCGCGCGGCGGATCTCGGGGAGACTCCGCCCCCCGAACCCCTCCCCCGCCTCCGCCTCCGCCTCCTCCTCCTCCTCCTCCTCCTCCTCCTCCTCCTCCAGGAGAAGGAGGAGGAGGGCGGGGAGGAACGACCGATGGGTACCACCTCGCCCGGGGAACAGGGGAGGGGCGAGGCGGAGGGAGAGGAGGCCCTGACAGCAGGAGGAGCAGGGCGGGACCTTTCAGGGTGAACTGCCTCAGCTTGTTCTCGTCCAGCCCGGCGTCCTCCAGGATCCACGTCTCCCGGGAGCCGCCGATGCCTCCGCCGAGCCCGCGCCCCCCGCGCGCTCCGGCTCGGCCGGCCCCCGCCGTGGCGCAGGGGCACGGCGCGGGGGCGACCGCTGCTCGCAGCTCAGGAGGAGGAGGAGGAGGAGGAGGAGGAGGAGGAGGAGGAAAAGAGAGAGAGAGAGAGAAGGAGGAGGAAGAGGAGGAGGAGGAGGAGGAAGAGGAGGAGGGTGGGGAAGGAGAAGGAAGGAGAGGCGGGGGGAGGGAGGGAGGGAGGGAGGAAGGGAGAGGGACCGAGTTCCTGGGAGGTCCCAGCGGTGTCCGGATGTCTGTGGAGTCGTTGGGGCAGGAGTGCGGACGCTTCTGGAGGGCTGCTGGGCTCCAGAGAGGGAGAGAGAGAGAGAGAGAGGAAGCAGGGGGAGAGGGATGGAGTCGGAAACGCTTGTGGTGGTTTTCGATTGTTGTCGTCTGTGATTCGTTGGATGTGATCACCGAATCCTAAGATGGTTTCTGTTATTACTCAGACGCCTACGGCTCTGCACTCACCTTCCTTTAACACACTCATCCACCACCGTTGCGGGCAATATTTATATCCATATCCAGTGCGTCTTGGACTTTCTTGGAAGGGGCGCCGCAAGGCCGAGTCGCACTGGATATGGGTAACAATCTAGCCTTTCTCGAGGCATATTATAATCCATATCCAATGCGCCTCATGTCTCTTGGGAAGAGAATCCGAGACTCCAAAACGCACTGGATGTGGATATAGACACTGCCCGCCACCGTGCCTCTGGGCAAGAAGTGGGCGTGTCCTCAGGTCCTTTGCGCAACGCCCTGAGCCTCGGTCGCCACTCCCTGGGGGCCCAGAGCCCACATGGCCAACTCTTCTCGGGAGTGGCGCGGCTCCCCCTGGGGATTGGCGCGCGGTGGCGCGTGACTGTCCCCAGCGCGGGAGAGCCGAACAACGGGCCGAGAGGGCCCCAAGACGCCCCCAAGACGGCCCAAGGAGGCCCCGAGTCGCCGAACGGTCGCCCCAGGAAGATGAATATGGCTCCGACGACCAAAGAGGCTCCCAAGAGGCCCCCAGAGAGAGGCCAGACCCATTAATCTTCCTGTGAAAAGTTGTTGAACGAATTTGGCGTTCTCTCGCCTTTTCGGCTCCCCGACGCTCCCAGACGCCCCTGGAGGCCCCCAAGACCGCCCCAAGACGGCCGACGAGGCCTCCAAGCAGGAGGGTTGCAAAGCGGCCTAAGACGGCCCCAAAGCAGGTCAAGAGGCGCCCAAAACGGTCCAAGAGGGCCCCAAGACTGCCCCAAAAGGGGCCCCAAAGAGGGAAGACAAGCCAGAAACCCAAGCCTTCCGCCACAGGAGGCCCAGGAGGCCCCACGAGGCGCCCATGAGAGGCCCCCACGGGGCGCCCAGGAGGCCCCACGAGGCCCCCAAGAGGTCCAAAAGAGGCGTCCAAACTGCCTCCAGGAGGCCCCCGAGAAGCCTCCCTAGAGGCCACAGGGCACATCCAATCGGCTTCATAGCTACACCCCAGGCGCGGTGGCGGGGTGGGCCGAAAGCCATTAGATACCCAGACTGAGGCACTCAGACTCACTCATACCAAGACTCATTCATCACGCTAAAACTATCCCGTGCTCAGACTGATTCGTGCCCAGCCTCCCTCATGCTCACACTCACTCGCACGCAGGCCCAGTCACAATCATAATCACTCACACTCAGGCCGACTCACACTACTCACACTCAGACTCACTCGCGCTCGCACTTCCCTCAGACTTGTGACGCACTCACACTCTCACTCCAGGCGCGCTCGCACTGGGGGCTGCCTCGGGCGGTGTGCTCGTTTTGGGCCCAGACTCCTCCGCGCTCGGAGCAGCTTGTGAGGATCACTCCACCGCGGCGCCGGCCTCGGCAGCCCGAGGGGGCGGCGGCAGGGGTGGGGACACTCCAAGATTCGAGCCCAGATGTCCGGGGCTTTGTGGGCCCCGTTTCCCAAAAATGTCCCTCGAAAATGGAAACGGCAAAAAAACGGCGACCGGAAACAGTTTAAAAAAACGGCTCTAGGATTGGAACCGGAGCCCGAACCGGTCAAAGAAGGCGACGGAACCGGTAACAAATACTGCAAAACGGAAACGGTAAACAAACGGCCCGGTCGTTTCCAGGGCCCACTAAGGTCCGGGGATGTCTCAGGCCGTCTGGCCTGTTTCGGCCCAGACTCTTCTGGAGATCGGAGCAGGTTGTGAGGATGGCTCCGCCGAGGCGCTTTGGCTTCGGCAGCCCAAGAGAAGAGCGGGCTGCTGTGATCCTCCTCCTCCTCGTTTTCCTCGTTCCCCGCCTCCTCCTCCAAAAATACACAACATGAATACTGCTCAATATCACTACTCTCCTCTCTCCCCTGGCGACGCCCGAGAAATGGTCGCCCCCCCTCCGCGTACTGGTCCTTTACACATCGGATTCCCGGGAAACGGGTTGTCGCTTGGGTCTGGTTTCGCAATGCTGCTCTCACTGAAGCGCTGGTCTCATTTTCGGGCTACCGCTCGTTCCGAATCGTGTTCCCGCTGCAACGCTGGCCTCAGTTCCGCGCTTCCGCTCGCTCCGAGTCGTGCTCCCGCTGCAACGCTGGCGTCATTATTTCCAGCGCCATGCCACGGCATGGTTTTCGGTCCTTCCAAACAAGCCTCAAAATGTAGAAACTGCGGCCCGAAAAACCCATCGGACATGACTACACATTCGGTTTCGATTCGTTGATATTTTGGGTCGCAGAAACCCCCCCGACCCCCCCCCACTTTGGGGCGTCGCCACGCCATGCTATGTCAAACTACGCGTCCTCCGAACCGTGTTTCCGCTGCAACGCTGGCCTCAGTTCCGCGCTTCCGCTCGCTCCGAATCGTGCTCCCGCTGCAGCGCTGACATCATTATTTCCAGCGCCATGCCACGGCATGGTTTTCGGTCCTTCCGAAGAGGCCCCACAACCTAGAAAAATACCACCCGAAACAACCATCTGTAGTGATTACACGTGGTGCCGATTCGTTGATTTTCTGGGCCGCAGAAGCCCGCTTTACGTTGGGGCGTCGCCGCGCCATGCTATGTCAGGACACGCGTTGATCTTCAACACCATGCTATGCCATGTAATGCTATGCCCTGCTACGGCATCCGACAGTGCGAGTAGAGAGGAGATCTACGCCATGGTAGGGGATGGGAGGGAGGAGAAGGACGTCGGATATGGCGCGAGCGCACCCAGCTTCTCCTCCCCTCTCCCCCCTCCCCCCCTCCTCCTCCGACTTCCCCTCCTCCTCCTCTGCCACTCTCCCTACCTCCCCTCTCCCCCTCCTCTCGCTATCTTCCCCTCCTCCTCCTCCTCTGCCACTCTCCCTCCCTCCCCTCTCCCCCTCCTCTCGCTGTCTTCCCCTCCTCCCTTCCCCTCCACCTCCTCCTCCTCCCCTCCTCCTCCCTTCCCCTCCGCCTCTCTCCCCGTGCCGTCGCGCACCTGTCCCCTCCTCCTCCTCCGCCCCGAGAGGTCAGCCCCCCCCCCCCCCCCGGACTCGTCCTGGAGAGCGCGCGTCTGACCAGGAGTTTGAGGCGGAGACAACCGCGGTCACGCAAGGGCCACGGAGGCAAACATAAGAAAGAGATGAGGCATTAAGACTCAAGGGGCACAAGGACACACAAATCAATACACACAAATAAAACGATGCCCCATATTTTCTTATATTTTCTGGCTTTTTGTCATCCCCCCCACTTCCCATATTTTCCCATATGTTCTGGGAATCGCCGATTAATTGTGTCTGTGTGTTGTTTCCCCTCCTGAAAGACATGATCCGAAATGGCGGAGTCTAGAGATATGATCCCCGATGTTGCGTCGGGCGAGGAGGCTGTCCACGTTGCACTTCATCAGTGCGTCCTGGCCGCGTGCGCTAGGGATGCGAGGGCACTTGCATGAAGAACAGCACAACTTATCTTGCGGCCTGTGCCAACGTCGGCGGTGGCGAGACGACGCTGCGTGGTCAGAGGGCTGCTGCGAGGGATCCAGGACGAAGAGCGAGGAGTGACAATGCGGAGCGGGCACATCACAATACAGGTCGCTCGGGAAGACGATTGCTCAAACATGATGTAGGCAAGCACTTAAACATTTGCTTCCCGCCCACCCACATATCCATCGGTCGGAAGAGAGTGTGTACCTACATGAATTAGGAAGGCGTTGAAACTAGACTGGGTTCCGTCCGCCCGCGAAGGAGGACGGAAAAGGTGAAGCCACTCGATCATTGAAGTAGGAAGGCTCTGAACGTAGATTGGAATATGGGAGTACAAAAATACCTTTCAACAACCGATAAGTAATCGGCTGCCAAAGTAGAGGCCCGCCGGTTCTCGCGGCAAGAATGCCGTCAAAGAAGTAGGACAGCGACCTCGGGCTGCGGCAACACTTCTGGCACCAACGAACCGTCCTTTTCACGAGGCGGAGTGCGAGGATGCGCGTCGCATTCGGCCAAGGACCCAGACCCCCGTCCTTTTGCCGCGCGCACACAAGGGACAAGGGGAGGGTGGAAGGCTTCTTAGAAAGAGGCCGGCTCTCAGAAGGCGCCGGCCTTACAAAGGCCCGCGCCTGCCTGAGAAGCAGGGGTGGTTCTAGGAAGCCTTCCCCACTCCCCCGAATTACTCCAGATTTCGTAATTAAAAGGGAGGGGGTCTGGACCCTCCAAGACAAGCCATTTCAGACCTCCCCCGTGGGAGAACCCTCCGAAACATCGTCCCCAGACCCCCCAGGCCCTCCAAGATAGCCTGGAAGAGACCCCCCCCCGAAATGAGACCCCCCTCCCTTCATTACGAAATCTGGAGTACCCCCGTCTGCGCGTGGCCGACTCGTCGTGGTTCGCTCCCAGCGCCGACCCCTGCTGGCCTCGGCCCCTGCCCCGGGGGCTGGCCTCTCATCCCGCGCCGTGTGCTTGCGGTGCTGGGGGGTCCGGCGCGGGCCCCCAGACGGAAGAACCCATCGGAAGTGATTACACACTCGGTGTCGATTCGTTGATATTTGGGGCCGCCCCACTTTGGGGCGTCGCCGCGCCATGCTATGTCATGCTACGCGTTAATCTTCAACACCATGCGATGCCATGTAATACCGTACCATGCTACGACATCCGATTGTGCGAATAGAGAGATCTACGCCATGGTAAGGGATGGGAGGGAGGGGTAGGACGTTAGACATGACGCGAGCGCACCTAGCTTGTCTTCATCCCCTCCTCCTCCTGCCCCGCCCACTTCCGCCGCTACAGCAACCTGCTTGCTCATCGCTCCCCTCCCACCCCTCCTCCTCCTCCTCCTCCTCCTCCTCCTCCTCATCATCATCATCATCTTGCGTCTTACCTAACTTAGCGGCCTGGTCCTCTGACTGGGGACGCGTACTCGTCCCTCTCCTCCTCCTCCTCCTCCTCCTCCTCCTTCTCCTCATCATCATCGGCACCATCATCATCATCATCATCATCATCATCATCATCATCATCATCATCATCATCATCATCGTCGTCATCATCATCATCATCATCATCATCATCATCATCATCGTCATCATCATCCTCATCAGCATCATCATCAACATCACCATCCCCCATTCCTTTTCCTTGTGGACAACTCCTCCCTGTCGCACTCCCGGACGTGTAGGCAGGGCATGCCGAGCGTGTCGGCTGCGAATCCCTCACCATGCATGATCCTGAGGTTAAAACTGCACAACAGCTTCGCAGATAGAGTGCGGGTCGTTTTCAAAATGTGGTTCTCGCCTTAGCGCCGCACACATTCGTCTCTACAGTGTGCGGCAGCCTCAAGGACGGAGGGCGGGTGCTCTGTTGGATGCGTCCTCGCCCGAGCGCCGCGAACATTCCCTTACAATTTCACAGCGGTTCCACGGGTTGAGGGCATGACCTGATCAAACTGTGGTTACCGCCTTTGCGCCGCACGCATTCGTCGTGAAAGTGTGCAGCAACTGCAAATATGGGGGGCGGGCTGTTTTCAAAATGTCGCTCTCGCCTTGGCGCCGCGCGGACATTCGTCTAAAACGTGTGCAGCTGTTTCACGGCTTCAGTGCGGCTCCATTTCAAAATGTGGCTCTCGTCTTAGCGCCGCGCACATTAATTCCTTTCTGTTTGCTAAACTTGCAACAAATTGAAAGATTGGTACGGTTGAAGTCCCACGAATGGTGCTCTGGCACGGCTCAGGATTGTGAGAACGGAACAGTCAAGTGGATTCGCTACGTAGGAATCCCAATAATAGTATCTTGCCACGATTGTGGATTATCAAAAAACTGTCTTTCAACGGAACACTCCCCGCAACGAAACACAGATTCGTGAGGGACCATGAAGCGGGAACCTGGAGGGAGAGTGCTTTGCAACAACGCTAATGCGTCTTGGGTTTGCACTGGTCCTCCTCCTCCTCCTCCTCCTCCCCGATTCCTTCTACATAACTCCTCCCTGTCGCGCGCCGAGGCCAGCCGGAAGGGCTGGCCGGGCGTTTCGTCTGAGACTTCCTCACCACTGTTGGCCATGAAGCCGAAACAAAATCGGCAGCAGTGTCACATATGGTGGTCTTCAACCTGAGGCTGTTGCCTTAGCGTCGCGCTCACTCGTTGGAAACATTCACAAGGGCTTCGCGGATTGAGGGCGGATCGTTTCCCAAATGTGGCTATCGCCTTAGCGTCGCGCGCGTTCGTTTTACTACTGTAAGGGTTAAAGGGCTTGAAGGCGGGTCGTTTTCTAAATGTGGCTCTCGCCTCAGCGCCGAGCACATTCGCATCTAAAAATGCAAGGGTTTCACGGATCAAACGCGGCTCATGTTCAAAATGTGGTTCTCGCTTTAGCGCCGCACCGATTCTTTGTTGATTGTAACCAATACGGACACCTATGATTCACGTACCCGAAACGGTGTTTTGGGCCGATTCACGATTGTCAGGCCGCAACAGTTACGGCGATCCGCGGTGTTGTAAACCCAGGAATGGCGTTCTGGCACGATTCAGGACCGTCAAGACGCAACAGTCGCGATGATTAGTGGCGTTGAAGGTCCGAGAATGGTGTTTTGGAGCGGTTAAAGATCTGCAAACGGTTGTCTCCCCAACGGGGCACTTCCTCAGTGGAAGCGGGTCCTTGTGAGGGCCTGTGGGAGAGGGATTCTGGTGGGGGAATATTCCAGCATCGCTGATGAGTCTTGGGTCGACACTGGTCCACCTCCTCCTCCTCCTCCACCTCCTCCTCCTCCTCCTCCTCCTCCTCCTCCTCCATTCCTCCCCCCTCCCCGTCCTCCCCCTCCCCCTCCTCCTCCCCCTCAGATCGGGACAGAATCGGATCGGGATAACTCGAAATCTCTGAGAATCGGCGGGTTTGGAGGATATATTGGGCGCCGCGGCCGCTCCAGAGCAATCCGGAACGCTCTGAGAGCGCTTCGGAACGCTCTGGAGCGATTTATCCCGATCCTAGCCCTGTTTTACCTCCTCCTGGCGGTGTCTCGGGCACCGAGCGGCGGCAGGGCGCCCGCAGGTCCTCCTCGAAGGCGAGGGTGCAGTACTTGTTCTTCTTTGGCCCGGCCAGGGCAACCTCGCGCCAGCAGGGGAGGGATGCCCCGTCCCAGATTTCGGCTGCTCTGGGCGCCCGAGTTATCCGGGGTCCCTCGGGTCCGGGGTAACTCGGGTTTGGATTCCCGAAAAACGAACCCGAGTTAGCCCTGACCCGAGTTACCCCTGATGATTCGGGGCTCTGGACGCCCGAGTTCTCCGGGGTGACTCGGGTCCGGGGTAACTCGGGCTTGGGTTCCCGAAACATGAACCCGAGCTAGCCCTGACCCGAGTTACCCCTGATGATTCGGGGCTCTGGACGCCCGAGTTCTCCGGGGTGACTCGGGTCCGGGGTAACTCGGGCTTGGGTTCCCGAAACACGAACCCGAGCTAGCCCTGACCCGAGTTACCGCTGATGATTCGGGGCTCTGGACGCCCGAAATATCCGGGGTCCCTCGGGTCCGGGGTAACTCGGGCTTGGGTTCCCGAAAAACGAACCCGAGCTAGCCCTGACCCGAGTTACCGCTGATGATTCGGGGCTCTGGACGCCCGAAATATCCGGGGTGACTCGGGTCCGGGGTAACTCGGGCTTGGGTTCCCGAAACACGAACCCGAGCTAGCCCTGACCCGAGTTACCGCTGATGATTCGGGGCTCTGACCCGAGTTGACCCCTGATGATTCGGGGCTCTGGACGCCCGAAATATCCGGGGTGACTCGGGTCCGGGGTAACTCGGGCTTGGGTTCCCGAAACACGAACCCGAGCTAGCCCTGACCCGAGTTACCGCTGATGATTCGGGGCTCTGGACGCCCGAAATATCCGGGGTGACTCGGGTCCGGGGTAACTCGGGTTCGGATTCCCGAAAAACGAACCCGAGCTAGCCCTGACCCGAGTTACCCCTGATGATGTTGGGGCTCTGGACGCCCGAGTTATCCGGGGTGTCTCGGGTCCGGGGTAACTCGGGTTCGGATTCCCGAAAAACGAACCCGAGCTAGTCCTGACCCGAGTTACCCCTGATAATGTTTGGGCTCTGGACGCCCAAATTATCCGGGGTAACTCGGGTCCGGAGTAAGTCGGGTTCGGATTCCCGAAACAAGAACCCGAGTTAGCCCTGACCCGAATTACCCCTGATAATTCGGGGCTCTGATTGCTCCCACCGTGCGTAAGGATCACATCCCAGATATGGTTTCGAGCACCCAGAAAAGCATCGGAAGACTGTCGAACGAAAGTGGCCTCCCAGGGCCCGGCACGTGACAGCCCTCCAGATTCGGTACCTTCTTGGTGCCCGAAATTCTTTCTGGCCATCAGGGCTAAAATGGGCTGGAGCATCATGATCTCAGAGGCCTCCCTACACTGGGTCCAAGCAGATGTGGTCGGAGGATCGCGCCGCATCGCCGATGCATCGAAGATAGATCGGCGACGTTGGCGGTGCGTCGGCGACGCCGGCGCGGAGAAAATCGGGCGCCACATCGAGTTGCATCTCCGATGCATCAACGATGCGGCTCTATCCTCCAACCCCATCCACTCGGACCCTATCTTGGATGCCTAGATGTACATTCTCCAGCATGTGTGCAAGAACCTCTCGAAAAAGCGCACGCGAGGAAGGAGGGGTAGACAGACAGGCAAGAGCCGTGCCCAGACGGCACATGGTCAATCAAACCTGCGACTGGTGACGGCGTAGGTAGGCACACGAAGAAAATAATGAAGAATGGATTGCGCTGCAGGCGGCTCGGCTGCAGACCATTGGCAGACTTTTTGCCGAATGGGAGGCGATGCCTTGGCCTGCCGCCAAACCGCGGAGAGGGGGAGGAGGAGGGAGGGAAGGAAGGAGGTTAGGAGGGAGAGAAGGAGCGAAGGGAGGGATGAGGAAGGGAGGGAAGGGGGAGGGAAGGAGGAAATGCACACATTACTTCTACCTGCAACATCTTGTGACGGCGGCGTGCCATTGTACTTCGTTCCCTGGAAGCCCCTGGAGCCTGTCGGGGTTCTCCCCTGAAACTTCCGAGGCTTGGGAACGCACAAACATTCTCCATTGCAGACGTGGCCGGCCTGTCGCTCGAGCGCTCTCCAAAGATCTGGGGACAGAATTGTCATGGGCATCGGCTGCATATGTATGTATGTATGTATATATATATATATGTATATATGTGTGTGCATCTTGGCAAACTGCTCGTTGGTTCACGGGCGAGCTGGCCGTACTAAAGCAATTGGCGTCGCCACAGTAAGTCGGACAGTCTCTGCGCACCAGCACAATTCAAATCGCGGAGAGTACAGGGAAGGCTAGTCCACAAGAAACCTTCCACAAGAAACCCAACCCTGAGACCCTAGGACGTCCATGGAAAGTTTGAGTGGGAACGTCACGCTTTACATTGCAGAACCATCGAAACCCAAGAAACCCAGGGCACCCTGGAGGCAAGCCGGGTGTTCCCTGACATGCAAGAGCAATTGGCGTCGCAACAATCGGCTACACGCAAGAGTGACCCTGGGTAAGAGTTACCTTTGGTGCGCGACTTTGTGGGGGCCGCGGGGGGGCCCAACACAGGCGCGCAAGACGCAACTATCGCGTCGCGTTCGGCGATCGGGGGGCCCCACTGGGACCGCACCAAAGGTCACTCCGGCGAAAGGTCACTCTTACGTCTAGTCGAAACAATCAGACGGACAGTCTCTGCGCACCGGCGCGATTCGACACGCGGAGAGCCACGTCGTATGAGGCGTGCCGTGCTTCCGAATTTGCAACTCGTCCACGCGAGGACGAGGCGCCGGCGCGCCGTGCACACTCGCAGCAAGACTCGGGCTCCCCACGAGGCACAGGGGCAGGGGGCACGACGGGGAGCAGCGTCTCTCCGAAGACGTGGCCGAAGAGCCAGATCTTGCCTCCTGGCCGCCGTCGGGCCACCTGCCGCGCAGGCCACGGGGCGCCGCGCATGCACCACCAGTCGACCCCGGCTGCGCCGGCCCCTGGGGGCCGCGATCGGGACGCCCCCGCCGCCCACGTCGCAGTCTTGTTCGGTGACGTGGCCCCTCGGCGATCTCGGCCCCTGCGCTGATGCCAGCTTTCCGAAGTTCTGGTCGAGGTGCTCTGGACCCCACTCTGGCCATCGCTGGGACGTCCATTCCCTGTGTGTTTTTGTCGGTTTCGTGCGTGTTTTTTTCGCCAAATGATCAAGGATGCTCCTCGATGGTCCTCGCCGAGAGAAACATGCACACACGTCCGAGCGATGCCAAGCACTGATACCAAAGATGTTTTCTCCCCGCTGGCGCGCCGCCCGCTGCGCAGTCCGAGCGGGGCATCGCCCGGGGAGGGGCCCGTTGGAGCCCTCGAGGGCCTCGCTCTCGGCCGGACACCCCGCGGCCAGCCACGAGAGCGAGGGCCGTGATTTTTCTGTGCCGCGCTGCCGGGCTGTCTTCGCTCCGACGTCGGTCCTCGGGGCAGGGTGGCGGGGGGCTCCGCGGAGAGGGGGCCGGTCCTCTTCAGAGTCCGGACGGGGGGGTGGGGGCCTCCGAAGGCCCCCCCCCCGACCCGACCAGTGGAGGTCGCACAGAGGAGGCTCGAGACCATCGGCGACACGTCGGTGATGCCGGGGTGCGGAGAACAGCGGTCCGCGGATGGCGCTGCACCGCCGATGCTGCCGCGGTGCAGCGCGGCCCTCCGACCCCCCAAACTGCCCCCTGCGAGAACTGCTGTGAGCAGGGACCGACCGTCCGGGCAGTCTTGTAGGCCTACCACGACATGTTCGCAGAACCCAACGTTCGAAGAGCAAGCACGATGCCCTCAGAGCACAAGCCCGCCGTGCTACAACACGACAGCCCCAGCCCGAAGAGCTCTGAGAGCGTGGCGCGCAGACCACAAAAGGTTCTCAGAACAGTCTTTGCTGGGCCCTTTTGGCGAGCCAGCACGCTTCGCCACTGCTTGACCGCGCTGCGCCTGCGGCGGCCGTCGGCTCGAGCTGGCCGGCGCCGCGCGCAGGCGGTGGCGCGGGACTGAAGGGGCCCAAGGACACACAAATAAATACACACACAAATAACAGGATGCCCCATATCTTCCAATATTTTCTGGGTTTCTGGTTTCCCCCCCACTTCCTATATTTTCCTATATTTTCCTGGGAGTCGACGATTAACCTCCTGAGGGGCGTGGCATCGGTCTGGCCCGGCCGTGGGCAGGTGCTGGCCGGGGACCGGCCTCCTAAGGGCCCGCGAGGTGCGGCGAACTCCGCTCCAGCGAGAAGCCAGAAAGAGGCTCCTCCCGCAGGCCGCTCCCGCTGCTGCCCGCTGCTGCTGCTGCTGCTGCTGCTGCTGCTGCCCATGCTGCCCACATGCTGCTGCCCGGCGACGACCTGGCCATCGCTCGGACGTCCATTCCCTGCGTTTTTTTCGGTTTCGTGCGTGGCTTTTTTCGCCAAATGATCAAGGATGCTCCTCGATAGTCCTCGCCGAAGGAAAAATACACACGTCCGAGCGATGCCAAGAGACAGGGGCTCTTGCCGCAAGCCGCGCCTGCTGCTGCCCGCTGCGGCTTCTGCCCGTGCTGCCCACCCTGCTGCTGCCCGGCGACGACGGCGGCGGCGACGACGACGACGAGCGCTCTTGCCGTCGGCGGCGAGGCGGCGACCTCCGCTCCAGCGAGAAGCTAGAAAGGGGCACTGACCAGCGAGTGGGCCAGCGGGCGAAGAGGGGGGGGGACGGCCGAGAGGAAGAAGGGACGCTCAGACGTCGAAGTGTTCTGACGAAGAGTTCCGAACGCATGCGCCGTGATGCTTGTGTATCGACCATCGACGGACACCGAAACGCAACCACATGCACCAGGCAGGCCAGGAAGAGCTGCGCTCTGAGTCTGAGAAGGTCTTGTGGGCACGTGGGCTACGGCACGGGGTGCAAGACGAGAGTCGGTCTAGGGATCACCAGGAATCGCGCGCGCATGCTTAACATACGCCGCCGGGAGCGACATCACGTGAACTGAAACAGCATCGAGACAGCATGGGAATCAAGCAAAGCAAAAGAAGAAATGCGCCTTGCCACTGCCAGCGTTGACCAAGACAAACTTCTCCATATCTGAGGGGTCCAGAAACACTGGTGCACAAATGGTATATGACAAACAACCTCACACTACAATGTATCGGAATCGCTCTTCCCAGCACTA